TATGAGATCGCTGATCGAAGACAGTCCATCTGCGATCTCCGCCTGAGACTGAGCCAATTGCTCCTTCAAGTGCAAAATATCTATGTGAATGAAGGACCTGTCCATGGTCAGCTGATCACACTGCTGTCGGAGAGAATTGAGTTCGGCTTGGAGCGAATGAAGCTGAGCCCTCAAAGCATCCACCTGTCGTTCCAAGTTCCCCTGAGCCTCGTCGTTGGCACATATCAAAGTGCGTAGCCGACGAACCTCCTCCGATTGATCTCGATATGTCCGCAGAGCTCGATTGCAATCACTCAAAGAATGCACTGCGTCGACGTAGCGGCCCTGCATCCAGTCATATCGACGCTGGACGAAGGAGACAAAAGGGGCGGCTGATCTGTACAGCGAATCAAGCTCGTATTGTAAGCGATCCCCCCGGGCGACGGCATCTCGGTAGGACTGCTGAAGCGCATGAATGGTGTCGGCTTGGCTGCAGAAGGTAGCCTCTCGATCCCATAAATACGAGATCGTGGCTATCGTGAGACGAACGTCGTCGGCAGAAACTCTGGGAACGAAGCCGGTGACGCCCACAGCTGGAGCAGACCTTTCACGAGATTCATTAGCGGCCGGGATGTCGGATCTGGACGCATCTGGGGCCGCCGGAGGAGTGGGAAGCGGGAATGGCTCGGAAGAACGATCTGATAATTCCGCGTCGGTCGAGAGCGATCCGACCGATCTGGGATTACTGAGAGACTCATGTTGATTCTGGGACGATAGGAGCATACCAACCGCGATCCGGCGATCTAGATGGCGAGTCTCGGGATGGAGACGAGGGTCTGGTCGGCTGTCGATCTGGCGATACCGTGGGGATTGTGGGCGATCCGGTTGGGCCTAGATGGCGCGGAGACCCAGGCCGATCGGGGACCGCTGGGGTGTGTCCTCCGAGATCGGGCGATCCGGGCGACAGGTCGCGATCCGGAGACAGAAACATGGTGGATCCTTCTGAAGAGATCGGCGAGGTGGGTGGATGCGCCGGAGAGACCATGAGACGGACTTGAGTGCTTGGAACGAAGTTGATGAGTGACTGTACTGAGGTCGATTGCTGTACAAAAGACTTCAGTACAGGGGGCGGTTGTGGCAAAGTCACTACTCAAATTTTGTACGAGGATCGGTTTCCACCCAGTTAAGATGTCACCCACTGGCGGAAGAGGTACGCCTAGGACCAGGCGATGCAACGTGATTTGAGACGGGGCGTAGAAAGGGGTGATTCCAACGGTGCGATCTGGGACGAGGGACTGGATTGAACCGAACGACCACTCTAAAGGCTGATCAAAGGAAAGGATGTGGATGTTGAAGCAGAATCATTTGAGAAAAGTACGCCTGGGACCAGGCGATGCGACGTGGTTTGAGACGGGGCGTAGCAAGGGGTGATTTCCACGGTGCGATCTGGGACGAGGGACTGGATTGAACCGAACGACCACTCTGAAGGCTGATCAGAGGCAAGGATGTGGATGTTGAAGCAGAATCATTTTGAAAAAGCATCGGAGTGCACACAATGAACGGAAGAACATATATGGCCGGATTGTACTGTGTCGATCCTCAACAATCTCGAATTGGGCATCAGATCGGTCATGATCCCCACTGACTATGGATGTATCGTTAATGAGAATTTTGGATCATGACAAACATGCTTGTTGAAGGTCCATGAGTGATGTCTCAAAAGTTCAGATCAAAAGAGCCAGTGGAAGCCGGTTAAATTGACGTCGCAAAATGGATTTAGACGCCTTCGGCATTTGGGCACTATTTTGGGCTTTTGGGTACCCAAAATGGGTATTTGGTACCCCATTTGGGATTTGGTCCTCTTTTGGCGTTCAGGTACGGTATCGGGAATATTGGCGCTATCATTGGAGTACAGGGCACGAAATTTCGACACGTGGCAAGGGGGCGATCCAGATTCAAGGCGATATCGGTTTGGAGAGTGACCTATAGTTAAGAATAGGCTTAAGGGTAGGTTGGATAGTAATTTGGTTGGTTAATAAACAGACTTGAACTCTACTTCTTCTGCTCACGACGCACGTTATCCTCCCCTCTTCTCCAGGCAAGATTGATTTGGCTTCCCCGGCGGGTTAAGGCACGCGTGTTACAGGGACACAGAAGACCGATCTTGGATTGTTGGCCAAGATCGAGAAGAGCGATCCCGGGATATCTGGCCCAGATCGATCAAGTACTCACACTCAACTCAACTGCTAGGGTAGCAGCACACAGCGGAAAAGGAAAAGGATTTTGGACACAGGATCGCGAGACGGCTCAAGTGGTCAGAAGATCTGGACAAGGCGTTCAAGACAAGACCGAGCAGGATCGAAGCGATCCCCTGGACAGATCGGCACGTTTCATTTTGGCGAAACAAGACACCGATCTACCCAAATTGCGCACTTCCGGCAAGATCGGCCGATCCCAAGACCAGATCGGACCGATCCCAAGGCAAGATCGACGCAGGACTTTTATTTGCTGAGTGAAGATTTCCGCACCGCAAAGACCCCGATCTCGAAGACAAATCAAGATCGGTGCGATCCAAGATCGGGATCGCAGAACCCCCGTTCGTGGTGTGAAGATTTCCGCACCGGAAGCGAACCCTCAACCCAACCTCTCAGCGAGATCGACATCTCCCAAGGCCGTTACGAAGAGCTCAAGCCAGCCCAACCGACGGGTACACAAGGTGAGCACAAGGTCATACAACAAGGCACGGATCGGAGTACCCCCTCCGTGAGTCGGCAAGTCTGGGCAAGTGGAAGATCGACACTCATACAAGCAATTTTGTGAGATCGACTTCACCACACGATCATGATCACTATGGATGATCAGAGGTCACAGTTACTTTGGTGATTAGCGTTCATGTTGGCAGTTGAGGTGGGTCACTTCAAGCACCGGGAATGGGTGGCAAGGGGCGAACGACGTAACAGAAACTAAGATATAGAAGTATAAGCGTATTCCTAGCCCCTAATAGGCTGATAAAAAACCGTAGTGTTTTTCCTACAAACAACACGCGTCAGCATCCCTCCAGGCCGAAATAGTGGCCATTCGACGTCCAAGGTTTACTGTTCACGTGTGTGTTCATTTTGAATCCTTAGATCAATTGGCAAGGGACAAGGGAACTCATTCAAGTTAGCCCGCGATCGGACGCGGCAAACATACAAGACAAGGTCTTCAAACGGCTCAAGTCAGAAGAAAAAGGGGATCAATTATCAACATTTGGGCCAGGCGACCTCAAGGGAGGTCAGGCGACTCTAGGATAGTGCCACAGGTAACTGTTGGTCGTGTAAAGAATTCCCACGCGACCACATCCCACCTACCCCCAATTCGGTCAAGACAGACATCAACCTCAAGCCACCTAGAAGAGTGCAACCGCCCGCCGACGAGTACACAAGGTGAGAAAGAACAAGACAAGACATACGGTCCGGAGTACTCCGTTCGTTAGTCGGTCGTCCGGGCGAGAGTGGAGAGTCTGGATAGCATCGTAAAAGATCGAAATCCAATCTACCAGAAAAGCAAAAACGTCGGTATATGCGTGCCATCTTAAATTGAGTATATTAGGGTGCAGGTATTTTTTTCTATCACCTAGACCATTTTCTACGTGAACAAATGGGCCGTAATTTAATTGCTTTCATTTAAATAAATAAAAACGACAGAGAAAAAAATACCACAAGTCTTGATGTTGGCAATAATTTAACCAGGATTATTCCGTTACATATTGTCTTTTATACGATAAATATCAAGTGCAAATTATCCATCAAAACGTTGAAAAAACATAAAAGTCTAACGACAAAATCTTAATAAGAAATTAATGTTGTGCAGAAGACATACAGCGTTCATCGAATGATACGGATAATGATATCCACTAATATACCCAAGCCACGACAGAAGAACTCAACAAGTGGTGAGCAGATGGTTGCAATACGTGTTTATATTTCGAGATAATAAAAACTATAAAGCATTATTAAAAAAGCTTTATAGTACGAAATACAGCTCTACTTTCACCCTATCCTGTATTTAACCTTCCTTGGCAAGATGCTTTAACGTGACGTTCCCAGACGTCTGCTTACCCTATATTCAAAAGAAGTAGCTTTTAATGTGATAGTTCAGGCGTTTGGTGCCTCATTTCATATGCTTTTCACAAGATAAGAAAATTTAAAAATACATATTAAGGCGTACACTATAGGCGGGCGCATGAATCTGCCACACATTACCTCTACGATTATCTCCAGGCACCTGCGAGGAAGCCTTTTTGCAGTCTTCTCCCGCGTGCAGCGTCTTACGACTGCCCACCGATATATGAACGATTGTTGCTTGGTTTGGCTTGGACGCGGTTTTTCGTTCTCTGGCACACAGGCTACAAGCAGGTTGCAACGGAAAGACTGATTTCAACTTTTCAATTAAACAGAAATCTAAATGGCTATTAGCTAAGAAAATGCGCGCTCCAATGGAATGAAATTTTGACAGTGCGCTCGAACTGAATATGAGCGCGTTCATGACGTACCTGACATAATGTAATTATGTCTAGAAGTGCTGTGATCTGTGTGTTTGTCGCACACTTTGTGGTAGGTCGCTATTGCTGTACCTCATATTAATCAAAGATTTGAGTGCTTGCCGCTTCTAAACACTTTCTCTGACTTTTCTTGCCGTCGAATAAAAAGTTTCGTGAAACGGTTCGACTCCGTTACATACACTGTACATATTACACTCCGCGCCAGGTAAAATCGTACACCTGTACTTTTATTCACTGCTCAGTCAGTATTACAAATTAGCGGGTGCTATAGATATGTGGTGTATTTTTTTAGTAGAAACATCCTATGTGTGTTAACGATTGCGATTTCGCAAAGCGTAAGGGGCCTCACATACAAATGACTGGTTTTGCCACTGCAACATGTAAAATTGTACAAAATGGCAAACAAATTCTAAGTATGATGTATCAGTATGATTGTATTGCTATGTTGATATTTGCGGCACAAGCATTTGGCGACACGATGCTAGCGGCTCATATCGACGGGAATGGCAACAAGAAGCCAAGACTTACCGACCACGAGCGGGGAAGGATAGTGGGGCTTCGAGAGGCTGGACTGAGTTTGCGTGCCATCAAGACTGTCACCTCAAGGAGCCTTGACGCTATTCGTCGAGTAGTATCCCCTACCTCTCCCCTACAGATGAAATGCCGAGGACCCGCTCCGCTTCTCTCGAAGCGCCAGTTGAGACTTCTCTTGCGCATCTCTGCTCAGGGAAACCTGTCCTCTGCCCAGCTCAAGATCGAGCTAAGCCTGCCGGTGTCCGTCCGCACCGTGCAGCGCATTTTGGCCGATGTCGATTGGCTTGTGTACGCCAAGATGGAAAACACGTTGCCGCTTACGGTCGCGGATATGGGTGTGCGCAAATCCTGGGCCAGGGACATGCTGTTGCATGAGGATGCCGGGTCCGTCTGGGACTCGGACAAAAAAATGGAATCTTGACGGGCTCAACGGCTTTTAGCACTACTGGAGGGATGTGCGGGGCCAGTCCGTCCGCCAGACAAAGCGACGCTAAGCTGGAGGTGGTTCCATGATGTTTGGGCCGATTTTACGCCCGTGGCAAGTCTCCACTTCTGTGCTGACGGGGAGGCAGGAATTCGATGACTATGTTTATACAGTGTCTATATATCTTCTATTATTTGCGCCTTTGAACTATGGTACAGATTTTATTTTCCAACAGGACAACGCAAGCATACATGTTTCACACCGTAGCCGCGAATCCTTCAGTGAAGAGGGTATTCAGGCGCTTGACTGGCCATCATAGTCACCTGATCTCAACCCTATCGAGAATTTGTGGTCTATCGTTAGCAGGCAAGTGTAAGCCAATATAACACAGTTCGAGCGCGTGTCTGAGCTAAAGGCTGCGCTAATTGCAGCATGGAATGCAATTCCGGATGCCACACTTGAGTCGTTTGTTCGCTCGATGCCGCGACGATGCATTAAGGTCATCGAGAAGAAGGGCAATAAAACCCACTATTAAATACAGTAAGTCTTTAATTGCTCAATTTATACTTAAAATTTGTTTGCCATTTTGTACAATTTTATTTGTCGCAGTGACAAAACCAGTCATTTGTATGTGAGGCCCCTTACGCTTTGCGAAATCGCAATCGTTAACACATAGAGGGTGTTTCTCTTAATAAAATACACCATGTATCTATAGCACCCGCTGATTCGTAAAACTGACTGAGCAGTGGATAAAAGTACAGGTGTACGATATTACCTGGCGCGGAGTGTACATGACAGAATATCGTAAACGAGGGGTAATTTCAAGCCGAAAAATTCATCGTTTTAGCAATGGTGAATGATGCCCAAGCACACATATAACATCATTTTGCTGCAGACAAGGCAGCTCTCAGCAGCTTCTGTATGGATAGGCAACTTTACAGAGCTATAAACAATAAAATCTGCAAACATTTCGCTCTCATTTATTGTTGCATCGGAATGATCCTGCAAGCTAAGATAACTATCCAATAGAAAATAAATGACGAAGACTGTCTTCGTTTTCAATATCGACACTAAAATTCTAATGCGTGCCCATAAAATGAGTTGTAATCCAGAGAAATGAATCAAGTTCTGTATATTGAAATACCCATATTAGGGGGCTGGCTGGGGCTGGTTGCAAGGAGATGTGTTGTGGTGAGTGTGCTGATTTGCAAGAGCGCTGATGGATTGTGTGTATAGAAGCTACTCGTCGATGTGGTTGTTGTTCTAAATTAAACGCGAGTAAATAAGAGATAAATGGTAATGATCCTGCTCGGTAACGCTGGAAACAATATAGCACGTCCTACAAATCATATTAAATTATGGTAAAAAGATGAAGGAAGTTTGATATGCTACCGAGATTAGTAAGTGACTAAATCTTTTAATTTTTCAGTATATGAAGTATTCTTGATCAAAACCACTTCACACTTATTGGCTTTGAAAGGTGTAAGACTCTTTTGGTGTGCTTAAGTGTCTGGTACTTGAAGGGTATTCGTCTGTCCGACCCTGTTCATTAAAAAACTACACGTGCGGGATGTGGTGTGTATCAGGGTGATCCCGTTACTATAATTTACACAAAGGAGAAACATCGAGTTTGAATTTATATGTCAGTAGAACATCATATTCTCAAAATATCATCTCAACAGGTAATATTGCGCTGCAGCTGCTATACACTTCTCATCATTTAGTACAAATTAATGATATCAACCTATAATACTGGGCCACGATTGAAGAACGCATTTAAGTGAGTAAGTAATTACAACAGATGTTTGTATTATAATTTTAATCTAATAGAAAAATTAGTAAAAATTCTTAAAAAAATTAACGAAAGAAATAGATTTATAAGTTCACCCTTGTCAAGGACCTTAACTTTGTACTGATACCGTCCTCTGCACGTACGTGTGAGTCAAGTCCTAAGGTGAAGAACCTCCTTACTGTGTGTTTATAGTAAGCATTTCGTACTTTGATAGTAAGAGTGTTCTTTGCCCCGGTATGCTACACACTTCGTAGTCCAGATAAATGACCTACTTAAAAAGTAACACATAAAAAATACCTTTCGACCTATACAATAGGGACATACTACATCGTACTTGGTACGACGCGTAAGGTTGATCAAGCGTTACTCATGAAAACAATAAGTGACAGGCCACACGGCACTTCGTACGACTTTTAGGTTCGCCTAGCGTTTATTTACGGACACATGCAAGGAGATAACAGGCTTTATTGCACCTAGTACGACGTGTAATGTACATGTAGCGCTACTTGTGGACACAATAGGTGACAGACTACGTCGCAATTAGTGTGGCATGCAAGATACGACTGGGTTAATTTGTATACACAAGAGGTGAAGGACTAACTTTTACTTAGTACGACGTTAAAATACCTATTGCGTTACTTATACACAGACAGACACACAGACATAGTATATTTAGGGGGTCCGGTATCCAACTTGTGCATAGTCACCAAAATATTAGCTTTTGGGCTTGCAACCATTCCGTTAGACTCTATTTCGTACCTGATAAGGTGCGCAGCTTTCCCTTCATTAGATCTACCATCTTTTGAGTGTGTGGGCCGTGCCTCGTTCCAGCCTTTCTTCCAACCCCCTCGCTAGCACATTAAAATGTATTATCTTCAGTCAACACTCCTCCCACGGCGCTCTTGTTTACTTTAAACCAATCGTTTTTAGCGATTCCACATTTTTTGGCTCTAACGGGTTCTAGTTAAAACATCAGCACCCAACTCGTAAGAGCAGACATAATCATATTGCAGCGCTACATTCTCGCATCTAATCTCATGTCTTCCATACCGTTCCTATTTGAATGCTTCACATCAGCGCAAGTGCGCGAGATGGTCCAAGTTTGTAGTCAAAGACACGGGACGGTAATCTAGGTGCGCCACTTAGAAGGGTGAGTCTAATGAGATACTTTCCATTTTGTCCAGGTTCTCATCTTGGACTATCGATTACCTCATCAGTAGTCGCTTGCATCGGTATCAGACATGAAGCAAACAAAACGTTGTGAGTGGGCGACTTGTTGCGCTAGTCGTCGGGACTTAATCATGATAGGTGTGAAAGGCAGACCCCGTACGTTGGACACCTCGGAGTCTGTCGACGTAATTTATTGTACAAACATCAAGTTGTTAAATATTCAGTCACAGTGGGAAGAATACCAAGGGATCAAGTACTGTGAACATGATGTTATGAGTAGAAAGAGTATGCGCGTAATGAGATTATACTCCGATTATCTAAAAAAAACGAGAGGTCGTCTGCCCCACACAAATAAAGCCATGTAGTCCACGCATGCACATGCAATATATGTTGTATGACAGAGAGCAAGGCAAAGGGAGCGGAGAGGCTGAAGAGAGTAGAGGAGAAGACATTTTTGCTCACTAGTTGGAAGATTTGAAAGTAACTGATTATCGGGACTTACTACTGACTACATCATTTACATGTGGTGTACATATAAATCATGTGTAGCGTCTCATCATCCTACGCGTCTAACCAACTATGGGTAATTATCGGAAGAACTACGTCGTAAATACTAATCTGAGCAGGCGGTTCGGATTAAACCGGTCACAATTATCAATACTGGTAGAAAAACGATGACCGTCAACATGCCCCCTCAATCCGAACGCGCACAGATGTCTAGCGCCGCCGTTAAGTCCTTGTGGCGCGGTCCGTGAAGTCTCTTTTGTATAATATTCGCCAAATCACCATCTTCTTGCAGTATTCAAGCTTCACTTGACCGCTCTAGACCTCATCGCGAATGTGATGGTACTTGATATTGTGGTGAAGTCGATCTCACAAAATTGCTTGTATGAGTGTCGATCTTCCACTTGCCCAGACTTGCCGACTCACGGAGGGGGTACTCCGATCCGTGCCTTGTTGTATGACCTTGTGCTCACCTTGTGTACCCGTCGGTTGGGCTGGCTTGAGCTCTTCGTAACGGCCTTGGGAGATGTCGATCTCGCTGAGAGGTTGGGTTGAGGGTTCGCTTCCGGTGCGGAAATCTTCACACCACGAACGGGGGTTCTGCGATCCCGATCTTGGATCGCACCGATCTTGATTTGTCTTCGAGATCGGGGTCTTTGCGGTGCGGAAATCTTCACTCAGCAAATAAAAGTCCTGCGTCGATCTTGCCTTGGGATCGGTCCGATCTGGTCTTGGGATCGGCCGATCTTGCCGGAAGTGCGCAATTTGGGTAGATCGGTGTCTTGTTTCGCCAAAATGAAACGTGCCGATCTGTCCAGGGGATCGCTTCGATCCTGCTCGGTCTTGTCTTGAACGCCTTGTCCAGATCTTCTGACCACTTGAGCCGTCTCGCGATCCTGTGTCCAAAATCCTTTTCCTTTTCCGTTGTGTGCTGCTACCCTAGCAGTTGAGTTGAGTGTGAGTACTTGATCGATCTGGGCCAGATATCCCGGGATCGCTCTTCTCGATCTTGGCCAACAATCCAAGATCGGTCTTCTGTGTCCCTGTAACACGCGTGCCTTAACCCGCCGGGGAAGCCAAATCAATCTTGCCTGGAGAAGAGGGGAGGACAACGTGCGTCGTGAGCAGAAGAAGTAGAGTTCAAGTCTGTTTATTAACCAACCAAATTACTATCCAACCTACCCTTAAGCCTATTCTTAACTATAGGTCACTCTTCAAACCGATATCGCCTTGAATCTGGATCGCCCCCTTGCCACGTGTCGAAATTTCGTGCCCTGTACTCCAATGATAGCGCCAATATCCCCGATATCGTACCTAGAGCACCAAATGGACCAAAATCTCCTATATGGTACCAAATACCCATTCTTGGCACCTAAGTACCCAATATATGACCCAAAATGCCGAATGTGTCCAAATTCACTTTGCGACGTCAATTCGGACAGCTTCCACTGGCTCCTTCGGCATGAAACTTCTTGACATCACTTAGTGACCTCTATCAAGTATATTCCACATGATCCAGCATCTTCATCAACCATATATTCATGATCAGTGTGGAACATGACCGATCTGTCATCCAATATCGAGATGTTGGAGGTCGATCCGGTCTAAATCGGCAATTAACACTTTTTCATCTCCTCATACGTGCTTCAATATCATCCTCCAGTGTTATCCAATCGACGACTTCATTCATACGTCTCGGCATCGGTTTCCTTGACTCCCCTGAGTATGCAAAACTTTCAGATCGGTGTATAATTAACCAAAATCAGTACTCCCAATTTAGGATCGGTAAAGAGTATCACCGATCCGTATGGTGTTGCACCTTCTTTGCCGATTCACCGACCCGTACCACCTGGTCCCAGATGCACTTTGGGGAGTCACCTTGTCCCAGATGTGTCAATTCTCCAACAAACCGTTGCCACAACATGTCGATCTGCGATCTGATCTTAGCCTGCTTCAATGTACGTATACTTCTTCTTGACCGGCATTCCAATGAGCTGTATGACTTCATCCCGATGTCTGGTTCCAGATCGCCCCATAACATTCTGCAAGATGTTACACCTTCGTCGCAGAGTCATATCCCATCACCCGGTCCCAGATCCTTGTCCCAGGTTGTTCCATGTAAATCGTTCCAGATCGCTCCGTCCCAGGTCGATCCATACCCATTAGTCTAACGACAGTTGGATCGGTTCGCCGATCCCGTTAAGATCATCTTCCACCTCCGTATTGGATCGCCGAGTCTCATGGCCTCCTTTTCCACCAGTAAGCGGCGCTTTAAAGGTGTGGCCACCGATCCTCGTACAAAATTTGAGTAGTGACTTTGCCACAACCGCCCCCTGTACTGAAGTCTTTTGTACAGCAATTGACCTCAGTACAGTCACTCATCAACTTCGTTCCAAGCACTCAAGTCCGTCTCATGGCCTCTCCGACGCATCCACCCACCTCGCCGATCTCTTTAGAAGGATCCACCATGTTTCTGTTTTTCATAATCGTGTAAGTCATTCGATCATCTTCTTTTTGGTACTTCAATTCATTGCAACTTCCACGATCTCGATCCTCATCGCTCCACATCATTCAGGAAGGTAATTCACTTGACTATCTCCATACTCACATACAAAAACCTCATCCACCAGCATGTGCTACCGTCTAGCACATCTTTCAACCCCTACATCCGCATATGCTACCTCCCGCATACTTGTTCGAACTGTTAAGGTTCGTCCGACTTGCCTTCATGAGACTGCATTACGTCGAAACGGTTTCGACTCACTCAGTTCCGCTCAAACTCTTGCAAGATCGCCCCACAACTTAGATCGGCCTCGTCCACCCAACTTAGATCGGGATATCCCTTCCACTTCACCAGAAACTGCCGGTGTACTCGCCCATAACGGGTTTTTCTACCAGATCGCACGTCCAATATTGCCTCTACTTCGTATTCCCCTTCTTCAAGATCGCCATCCCAACTGTCTTCTGGCAGCAGAGCTTCATCGAAATCCAAGCGATCTGATTCCTCTATCGTAAGCTGATCCTTCGGGCGTTCAGGGAACGTCTTTACCTTTTTAGCTTCGATATATGTACAATCGGAAATAACCGATATGGGGTTCCAGCGATCTCCAATTTTACAGCATGATCTCCACATACGTCCGCAACTCGGAATGGCCCATGCCACATGTGCGCTAGCTTCTTCGCATATCCCTCTTTAACTCGGTCCAGGTATAGCCAAACTTGCGCTCCTACTTCGATCTCGTGTGGTTCCAGATCTTCGTTGTGTCGATCCGCTCGCTCCTGGATCGCGGCTTGTAGACGATCGTTCACTGCAGATCGGGCTCGCTGGTATTGTCTTTGGATTTTGTATCTCCACCTCTTTGGATCGCGATCTCGTGTCCCCGTATTCCCCACTGGTAGCGTAGCCTCCAAAGTCGATCGCGGGTCCCACCCATGAATCAGATAAAATGGGGTATCCCCCCGGATCCGATCTTGTGCAGTGTTAATGGCAAATGTGAGCCGCTCAGCATACTCATCCCAGTCTCGCTGGTCAACTTCAGCCACGTACATCTTGAGCGAATGTGTCAGGGTTTGCACCATTCGTTCGGCTGTTCCATTTGCTTGTGGCCTGTAAGCCATAGTATCACGCTGTTTTTGTCCTACGATCCGACTGAAGGCTCGAAAGAAGTCGGACATAAATCCCGGTTCTCGATCGTGCCTGATAGCCTCGCTAGCTCCGAAGCGTCGAAACACACATTCTTCGTAATTCTCCGCTATTGTTTGTGCCGTCCGAGAGGAGCTAGCCTTTGCAATCACATATCCCGAGAAAAGGTCGACCCAAATGAGCAGTTCGGTGTTCCCCTTGATGGACTTGGGCAACGACGGTATATGATCCATGGCGATGATCTGGAATGGATAGGTTGCGTGTAGGTTGCCCGGGGATTTCCCATGAATCATCGGGTTTCCTTTCCCGGTCTCACAGTCGGTACATTCGCCCACATATCGTTGAACGCTCCGATACAGTCCTCTCCAATGAAATCGCGATCTGATCCTCTGATAGGTTCGGCCAATACCCTGATGGCCTCCTTCCAGACTCGTGTGATAGTGATGCAAAAAATCCTGCTGCAACGTCTCAGGGATCACCAACCGCATCAAACCATCGCGATCTTCTGACTCTCTTTTCGCCATGGGGCAAAAAATAGCAGATTGTTCTCATCGATCTCGTATTCCGGCGCCAGTTTGGCGCACATCTTCACTTCTACCGCATCCAAGTTTGATACGTCGCCACTTATATATGTCTTGAGATTGACAATCCAACGCTCTTCATCTTGAGCTTGGACAATTCGTTGAATCCTGATCCGCTGTACTATCTCCTCCTGTATCACTTCAGGTTCATGACGTATCCTCCTGGCTGATCTCGTGATCGCAGTTACCCGAGCCAGCTGACCATATTGCTTGGGCTTCAACAATTCATCGAGACGGTTCAGAGTCATCAGATCTTGCCGATCCTCTTCAGCTACAACCGTTCTTCCCTTTTCGCTCTGCAATGCTGTGCTGGCTAGTCGATCTGCGCTCTGATTCCACTCTCGCTTCATATGCAGAAACTCGTGACTAGGCCATGACCGCAGCTTCTCCAACGCTTTGTGTCTCAGAAGCTGAAGGCCCGGTGCCTTGCAGTCGATCTCACCGCGCATCTGTCGAATCACCAGACTGGAATCTCCACACAGTATTACTCGCCCCCTATCCAGATCGGCGAGTAACTCAAAGCACAGTAGCAAGCCATTATACTCAGCTTCATTCACAGTCAGATCGTGAACATATCTCGATTCGGCCGCCACGATCGTCCATTCGGGTAACTTCCATATCACGGCACTGAACGACCCTCCTTTCTTTTTTATCCTAGCCGATCCATCGAAACTGGCCACCAGCAACTCCTCATCTGTTTCCACCGTTGGAGGAGGCATCGATATTTTGAGTCGACAGTCTTTTCGTGGGGAGATCGCAATCAGCATCTCTTCCACTTCTCCTCTCGGAGTGATACTCGCTGCTAACATGCCCAGGATCTCTTCCTCTCCTCTTTCACATTTCTTCACCTCCATAGTCCAATTTGACAACAAAGCAGCCCACCGTCCTAATCTCCCGTTGAGCCCTCGAGACTGCATCAACCAGGCTAACGTAGAATGTCGGGTCAGTACAGTGATCTCCCGCGAGGCAAGCGTAGTATAGCATACATCCAACACACGAAGTAGCGCCAGCACTTCTTTTTCTACCATTCCGTAGTTAAGCTCATTAGGCTTTAAAGTGCGGCTAGTAAACGTCACCGGATGGTACACGCCATCGTACTCCTGTATCAGGGCCGCTGAGACAGCCCACTTGCTAGCGTAGACCACGATTACGGGGGACCGATCTGGGTCGAAATGCTTGAGCATGGGAGCTGTAGCTATCTTAGCTTTTAGCATAGTGAAAGCAACCTTGGCTTCCGTCCATCGACCCTCGTTGGAGCATTCGTCTCCTGCTGCAAGCTGAGATCGGCCGATCTCGAAGAAATCCGATTCTCTTAACTCATACAACACCGCGGCATACACCGCGAAATCCTCAATGAAGCGACGGTAGTAGTTCAAGCTCCCGAGAAAGGATTGCATAGCTCGTAGCGTGCTAGGAAACGGGATGTTAACCAACGACTCTAGGTTCTTGGGCTGAGCCTCCAGACCATCCATCGACACTCGATGTCCCAAATAATCGACCTTACGGCACCCCCAAAAGCTCTTCGTGAGGCTGATAGACAGATTCCACGTATCACATGCCTCCAGCAACCGTTCTACTTTTGTGTACAAAGATCCCCATGACGTGGCTGGTATGAGAATATCGTCAATGTAAGATCGGCGTCCCAGTATAGACGGTCGTCGATCTGTCTCAGGTTCTCCATCTTTGAACACGTCGATCGGGCCATCAGAGGCTGATCTCTGGCCGATCTTGAGATATACATACAACGCATTGTCCACCAGACGTTGGTAGATCTGGGGCGCGTTCTTAAGCCCAAAAGGCATTCGCAGCCACTCGAACAAGCCAAACGGTGTGACAAACGCTGAGATCAGTTTTGCTCGTTCAGTCATTTCGACGACCCAAAGACCACTAGCCATGTCTAGCGAACAGTACCATAGGGCTTTATCCAGATCTTCCAACAGATCGCTGATCAACGGCATGGGATAAACCATCAGACGCGTCAGCTGGTTCACTCTTCGATAATCAATGCAAAGGCGAATATCCACTCCGTTCTTCTTGATGATCACCACTATCGGAGACGCCCAAGGTGACGTGGATGGCTGAACGATTTTGGCTGCTAATAGTCCTTTGATGAGATCTGACAGCTTCTCCCGATATTTGGGTGCGACCGGACGCACTCTTTGCGCTATCGGTGCTGCCCCACCGACATCAATATCACAGATCGCGCCTCGTGCTGCTGGTGGTAGAGCATTACCTTTACCCATGAGGAGGTGACGGCTCTTCCAGATCAGCGATCTGAGCCGTTGTTGATCTGTGGTGAGAGGCACATCGGGATCACCGATCTGAATGTCCTCAATCGTAACTTCTTCCGTAGTCGCCGACATATCTGGTAGCAGGCCATATGCTGCTCGATGTCTTCCGCAAACAAATCTCCGCTCTCGTGGTGATAAACTGGTATTTCTGCAATCTCGACGTCTTCAGTATTTAGCATTATTTCTTCTTTAGGCTCCTTCGTCTCTTCCGGCTGGCCCAATTTCAACAGTCGGTCAGTCGGCTCAGCCTTCGGTAGAGACGATCTGTCACGTAGCCCTTCTTGACCGGTGTCGCGGTCTCCCTTCGTTGCATGTTGGGTACCGATCTCATGACCGTTCTCCATCCGCGATAGTTCGGCTCCCCTGACCGTTACTTCCCTCGCAACTACAGCATCTGCCTTTTGCGAATCGTCATCGTTAGCTTGCGGCGTTACCGTGGAGATCGCCGGAGACAGGTTCTGTAACGCATCAGACGGACGTTTCAAGATGCGTTTGGGAGCGGCATACGTAGGACGATCTATCAATGGTCCGATCTGTTCTTTCGGGAGTTCGTTCACTCGATCCGTCGTAGCCTCATATGCCAGAGTTTGCCATTCCTTGTACTTCCCCGACCCGACTGTCACCAAACCTTGAGTTCGCGGTACCATATCGCCTTCGACCCACATGCCTAATATAGTGTGGGTGGGCAGTATGATCTCACGGTCGCCAATGTTGGTCATCTGCAGGTATTTCGTCTTACCCCACCCCGAGATCACAGTGGGGACCCAATCTAGTCCTCTAGCGACCCACAACTTCATCTTAGCCCCTCCGATCCCGATCTTCACTTCCCTTGACTCTCCGACCGGGATCACCACGTGTTGGTCCTTCGCCGTTATATGTTGTATCTTCGATCCGTACGCGGGGCGACGTCCTGCGAGATGAATGCGGATTTCTTCTGGTAGACATAGCGCGCCATCCGCTAGATCTAGCCGCACTCCAGCAGGCACCATAAAATCCATACCCAGAATCGCTTCTTGCCCTGCCAGATCGCCTACCCATACATTGAAATAGTATACCAGCGATCCCGCGAGGGTCACCTTGATCTTGGTACGTCCTACCGTCATGTACGGAGTGTCCATAATCCCGATACATTCTTTTCGTTGACTTTCGTCAATATTGCAACCGACCTCACGAGCAAAGGTGGTGTCAATGATCGACACTTCAGCACCAGAATCAAATAACAGAGTAGCTTTTAAGTTGTTGATCTTGCCAACGGCTTTCGCTTGTTTGAACCACTTCCCGGGTGAATAATGTTTCCAGTATCCGCGAGATTCACCATAAGCGAGCTCGATCTCCATAGCTGGTTCAGATCGTGAGTACTCATCGATCCGCTTCAGATGGGACACGGAAGCGACACGTTTTAACTTCGAACGAGATATATTTGTTTCCACGTCAATATCCTGCTTACTCTCGCGATCTGTCTTCTCTTTTTCCACGTATGCAATAATGCAGAGCCCAGAACGCTCGGCTCGTACCAGATTCAACCTGGCGAGCGTCCTAGTTTAACATCTTCTCGGCCTTCTCTGGTAGCATCCCCGCATGCTTATTCGGGACGTACCACTGACGGATCATGTTGTAGAACTCCTCCATGGGACACTTCCCCGGGTCGTGCATCTCACCGCAAGCACGACACACGAAAAAACAACTGTCAGAGGGGTGTCCTTTACGCCCACACTTCTGGCAAGTGAGCCGCTTCCAGCAACCGAGATCTCCATGCTTGGTCGATCCGCAATGAGTACACGGCTTCAATGGCATATTGCGATCTTGATAGTCTTGACGAGTGTTCGGGTCGACCGATCTCGCGTTTGCTGCAACGTCATTGGGGGATGAACGGCGATCCGCAGTAGCAGCCACATGGATCGATCTCAATCGATCTTCCAAATCCGATCCGCAGGTGTCCGATCCTGACTCGCTGCAGACGTCCTCGGTACGGACCATCCTTACCGCTCGTGCAGGCTTAGACAGCGCTGGACCCTGAGTTCCCTTCTGCCTGAATTTGGACGATCCCATCATCACTTTCCCTTGACGCGATCTCCCTTGTTGATATCCGTACAGTGTCTTTTGCATGGCCTCCGCGTCTTCTACATTCAGCAGTAGCAATTGATTGGACAGATCGGGGTCGTCCAAGGTGTCAATGAAATGGTTGACATGTTCCTTGCGAGCAGCTGGCAATCCAGTCATTACCGGTATCTTCGCCTGCATTCCCATCACATTAAGCCGATACAGGTACTGTAAAGGATCTTCCTCCGATCGTTTTTTTGCATGGTAGTACTGCCTGCTCGCGGACATCCCGTGTCCCGCATACTCCACAAGAAAACTGTTCATCAATTCTTTCCAATTGAATCTCGTCGATCTACTCAGCTGTCGGTACCAGTAGCGGGCTGGGCCCACCATGAGATCACCGAAGACCAGACATCTCTCCTCGTCCGGTGCTTGGTCCCGGATAAACGCTGATTTCACTTTGCCGATCCAGGTCCGTGCTTTGTCTTCTTCCCGATTCTTCCCTGAGAATTCTTTTAGCTCAGAAATCGCTGAGATTCTGATCCTCTGCGTGATGCTTCCCCCTCCGGTAGTCGCACCGGTCGCGGCTACATGAGGGCGCCGTGGTTCGGGCATCCATAGATCATCCGGGTCGTATTCCGCCCCCTCATGGATACGTTGGTAAATGTCCGACCCCACCGACTCCATCTCCACATCCGGCATGTCAAGGCTTTTGTGTGAAGGTTGGAGCAAAGTACGTCGATCTGGGTAGCGGTTTGGCTGTCGATTCATTCGCTGAGCTGTACGTTGATCCACCTCGTACTTCTTCATGGCTGAATTGAAGTACCGACTTAGATCGCCCTCGTCTTGATCCTCCAGCCCAGTGCGGGTATTGGCCGATCTCTGCGGCATGTTGCTCTTGGCTTGTCCCTTATAGGCGTCGATCTTGGCTTGTCCGATCTTGTCCTTTAAGAACCTTCCACCCGATGGTCCTAGAGACATCTGACGAATGCTGATGGATCCATCTGACTCGCTCTCGGAGTCATCCGAGGCGTAGCGGGGCGATCCTGCGGGGTGTTTACGGAGCGAGCCCGAGGGCGTCCCGATCTTGTCTTCAGGAGTATTCGCTTTGCCCACCAGCATTATCATGATCTCTACAAACTCATTCGCCGCGTCCTTCAACTGTTCCAAGCTGCAACTCAGCAGTTCATCTCCATCAAAAGCGTCAGGGCAGATACCCATGTCGTCCAACATCTGCAAAATCACATTGATCTCGTCGACTTTGTTGGTCCCGTGAAGTGGGACCGAGATCGGCTTATCCAGAGGACCAATCACCTTGGGCCTTAATATCTTGAACACTGGGTCCGTCTTGAGCAGCGTCTTCAACTGGCCATAATAGTACTGCCATTTTGCACGCTCCCGCGCTTCACCCGTCGTCTCCTTCTCCATGGACGCGATCTTTATTGGTTTATATTCCGTCTTTGGCATCGCGATCTTATCTGGTGTTTCATCGTATTCCTCTTTGGCTCCGATCTTCGATTGCACGGTTCGGCCGATCTGGCGATCTTTGACATCTGATCCCATCGATCTCGTCGCGGATCGTTCTGATGTGGTCGATCTCGCGATTGTGCTCTTCGGCTTGAGGTCGGTCGATCTATCGACTAAGATATAGGGTTTGGCTTTCGCCGATTTGGTTTTCACCATTGGATTTTCATCCAGCAGATCGCTCTCTGCAAAGAGCGATCTGCGGTGGCCCCCGAAGGGACCCTAGGAGGGAATTGAGGTTTATCTTCCAGATCGATCTCTCGATCTTCCTCTTTCATTTTCATTTCATCAGAGCCCCTCCCGAAAACCTGATGATCTGAGGATCTTGTGCTTCTGCGTGTCTGCGTCGATCCCTTTGTCGCTGACACTTCAATCCCAGGTTCTTGCTTAATCTTGATATCTTCTCCAGTGGACTCACGGTGAAATCTAGAGGCCTCAGAAGATCCGGGCACGCGCACCATTGTGGTGAAGTCGATCTCACAAAATTGCTTGTATGAGTGTCGACCTTCCACTTGCCCAGACTTGCCGACTCACGGAGGGGGTACTCCGATCCGTGCCTTGTTGTATGACCTTGTGCTCACCTTGTGTACCCGTCGGTTGGGCTGGCTTGAGCTCTTCGTAACGGCCTTGGGAGATGTCGATCTCGCTGAGAGGTTGGGTTGAGGGTTCGCTTCCGGTGCGGAAATCTTCACACCACGAACGGGGGTTCTGCGATCCCGATCTTGGATCGCACCGATCTTGATTTGTCTTCGAGATCGGGGTCTTTGCTGTGCGGAAATCTTCACTCAGCAAATAAAAGTCCTGCGTCGATCTTGCCTTGGGATCGGTCCGATCTGGTCTTGGGATCGGCCGATCTTGCCGGAAGTGCGCAATTTGGGTAGATCGGTGTCTTGTTTCGCCAAAATGAAACGTGCCGATCTGTCCAGGGGATCGCTTCGATCCTGCTCGGTCTTGTCTTGAACGCCTTGTCCAGATCTTCTGACCACTTGAGCCGTCTCGCGATCCTGTGTCCAAAATCCTTTTCCTTTTCCGTTGTGTGCTGCTACCCTAGCAGTTGAGTTGAGTGTGAGTACTTGATCGATCCGGGCCAGATATCCCGGGATCGCTCTTCTCGATCTTGGCCAACAATCCAAGATCGGTCTTCTGTGTCCCTGTAACAAGCGTGCCTTAACCCGCCGGGGAAGCCAAATCAATCTTGCCTGGAGAAGAGGGGAGGATAACGTGCGTCGTGAGCAGAAGAAGTAGAGTTCAAGTCTGTTTATTAACCAACCAAATTACTATCCAACCTACCCTTAAGCCTATTCTTAACTATAGGTCACTCTTCAAACCGATATCGCCTTGAATCTGGATCGCCCCCTTGCCACGTGTCGAAATTTCGTGCCCTGTACTCCAATGATAGCGCCAATATCCCCGATATCGTACCTAGAGCACCAAATGGACCAAAATCTCCTATATGGTACCAAATACCCATTCTTGGCACCTAAGTACCCAATATATGACCCAAAATGCCGAATGTGTCCAAATTCACTTTGCGACGTCAATTCGGACAGCTTCCACTGGCTCTTTCGGCATGAAACTTCTTGACATCACTTAGTGACCTCTATCAAGTATATTCCACATGATCCAGCATCTTCATCAACCATATATTCATGACCAGTGTGGAACATGACCGATCTGTCATCCAATATCGAGATGTTGGAGGTCGATCCGGTCTAAATCGGCAATTAACACTTTTTCATCTCCTCATACGTGCTTCAATATCATCCTCCAGTGTTATCCAATCGACAACTTCATTCATACGTCTCGACATCGGTTTCCTTGACTCCCCTGAGTATGCAAAACTTCCAGATCGGTGTATAATTAACCAAAATCAGTACTCCCAATTTAGGATCGGTAAAGAGTATCACCGATCCGTATGGTGTTGCACCTTCTTTGCCGATTCACCGACCCGTACCACCTGGTCCCAGATGCACTTTGGGGAGTCACCTTGTCCCAGATGTGTCAATTCTCCAACAAACCGTTGCCACAACATGTCGATCTGCGATCTGATCTTAGCCTGCTTCAATGTACGTATACTTCTTCTTGACCGGCATTCCAATGAGCTGTATGACTTCATCCCGATGTCTGGTTCCAGATCGCCCCATAACATTCTGCAAGATGTTACACCTTCGTCGCAGAGTCATATCCCATCACCCGGTCCCAGATCCTTGTCCCAGATTGTTCCATGTAAATCGTTCCAGATCGCTCCGTCCCAGGTCGATCCATACCCATTAGTCTAACGACAGTTGGATCGGTTCGCCGATCCCGTTAAGATCATCTTCCACCTCCGTATTGGATCGCCGAGTCTCATGGCCTCCTTTTCCACCAGTAAGCGGCGCTTTAAAGGTGTGGCCACCGATCCTCGTACAAAAATTGAGTAGTGACTTTGCCACAAAAGCGCAAGAGCCGTTCAAATTGCCATGAGCAAGTCTATCAATAGATACTTCCTAATCGCAGTGGAGCCGGGTTAAAAGAAGCAAGTGCACCAGATGACTTTGAGTCACACCAAGCGAAACGGTTTTCAAGGACTCTATTCAATATGGACGAAGAGAGCAAAGACGGTGACGAAGATGAAGATAACGACTCTTTTCTCAAGTCTTTTGACAAGCAAGTGCAAATGCAGTCGAAGGTACTGACTTGTCCGAGCCGAAAATGTTTTAAGACGCAGTTGGTGGTCCGGATCAAGTTCGTTGGCGTAAGGGCCTTTTGCGCCGTATCGGACTCAATAAAGCTGCGTGGCATGTTTCGAGAGACCGAGTACCAGCTTTATAGCACACCATTAGCACTAATTGGATGTTCAAGATTGAGCGCAGGATTGATGGATCGATCTTAAAGTACAAGGCGAGACTCGCGGCAAAGGGTTCAAGCAAAGATATGGCATTGACTTTACGGAGACGTTCTCGACAGTTGTCAGGTATATGAAGATCCGCATGATGATCACGAAGTACTTGATCTCGATGCTGGAACAACTGCATGTGATGACAGCTTTCCTGTATGGCGAAATGAAGAGAACAGTGTTTTGCGCGGTCCCAAAGGGTGCCGAAGTCGATGAAGACTTTGACTTCTCTGAACTGATGAAAGCGATCTACGGACTGAAACAAGCATCGCGGGTATGGAGCGATACTTTCCATGACTTTGTTTGCTCGATTGGATTTCAAGCGTCCGACTTCGACCCATGCCTCGATCTCAAGGTCGAAAGCGGACAGTGCGTGCAGTTGTTGGTCTACGTCGATAATGTGTTGGCAATGGGTAGTTCGACTGAGATGATTGTGATTACCAAGGGTGACTTGAAGATGCGTTCCGAGATCACTGACAGCGGCAAGCGCGCGTTCGTATTGGGCATCGAGCTGTGTACAACATCGGCGGTAGTGTGACAATGTGCCAGCGACGATACGTGGACGACGTTCTCGAGCGTTTTGGCATAAGCGATTGCAATGCTGTCATCAGTCCATCGGATACAAGTTCTCGACGCACACCAAGCGACGCAGCAACCAAGATCAACGCTCCGTCTTGTGAGGCAGTAGGCGCTTTGATGCACTTAATGACCGCGACAAGACCAGACATTCCTTTTCTCGTGGGCTTCAGGGAGAAACCCCAAGTCGAGCATTGGGGGCGGTCAAGCGTATTCTTCATTATTAAACAATTGTGTTCGCATTGAGGGGGAGTATTGCGGGTTATGTTCTTCTTTGCACCGGTTACAAGTTATCCTGCCCGATCCGATCTCGCGTCATTTCGGTAGGTCTGTGACGTCATCTTGATGACGTTACATATTGATTAGTCGTGTAGGATGATTGGACGTACGTGAATCAGGTAGATTAGACGCATTATGTGATTGGATAAAGTCTAGAGTAGGCAGAGTTAAGACCTAAAATCAATCACTTTCAAACATTCCGTTTTCAGCACAAGTTGTCTTCACTTTGCGGAGTGAACTTCTTTAGCATTCTACAAGCTTCGCATCCTCGTCCAGTGCTCTTCAGACTTAAACAGGTATGAGCCCAAGCACGTTGCCCTCTTCCCAAGATTCTACCGCCAAGATCTTCATCGACAAATTCGACGGAAACAACTGCGCGACGTGGATCTGCTACATGCGTGGTGTGTTCCTCACCATATAGACGTGGCAAGTGGTCAATCGGGAGACGACACCAAGCTTCGTGGATTCTCGCGCCAGTGACGAATATGTCAAGACGGACAACACTCCGTTCGGACTGATGTTGCTCCTTATGGACGCCGACTATCATCCAGTGACGAATATGTCAAGACGGACAACACTGCGTTCGGACTGATATTGCTCCTTATGGACGCCGACTATCATCGTGTAGTACAAGCAAACAGGCAAGTGAAGAAACCGCGTCCGTGATGAAGATACAGCAGCTCCACGACCGCGTGCATTGCATTAACGACCTGTACTAGAAGAGTCAAGCGCGCCAGAAAGCAACTCGTCACGCCAAGAAGAAGACGAAGAAACGAAGGATTCTGATGAATCAACTCCGCCTGTGTTTTGGCGTGCGAGTACGAGTGCCGTTGAAACAGCAGCGGATTTATCGGATCCCTCAACATTCGAGGCGGCAGTGGGCGGTCCTGACCAAGTGCACTGGCGAAAAGCAATTCATGCAGAGCTCGAGTCAATGCGACTTTGCGGTGTGTTTCGTGCAGCCAAGCTGCCCAACGGACAACGTGCCATTGGCACAAAGTGGGTGTTCAAGATCAAGCGTAAGGCGGATGGGTCAATCGAGAAGTACAAGGCACGACTTGTGGCCAAGGGTTTTCGCCAAAAGTATGGCATCGACTACACGGAGACGTTCTCGTCCGTGGTCAAATATGTGACGCTGCGAATGGTGATCGCAATTTCCAAGCACTTTGGATGGCCCCTCGACCAGCTCGATGTGGTGACAGCTTTCCTGTATGGCGTCATGAAGGAACAAGTGTTCTGTTGATTCCTGAAGGCGTTGAATTTGATGGTACGTTCGACTGCCTGGAATTGGTGAAGTCAATTTACGGCTTCAAGCAGCGTCACGAGTGTGGAATGAGACATTCGACGAGTTTGTGTGCTCCATTGGATTACAAGTATCGGACTTCGACCCTGTTGCATATTGTACGCCTCGGCATGACGGTTTAGAAAAGTGTTCTGTACCTCAGCCGGTTTAGTATGGCAGTACCATCCCAAAGGTTACTGGTTCGATACCGGTGGGGCTTGCAAACTAGGATGTCAAACTTTTGGGATCTGGTGTTTGGGGTTCACCAGCACTGTCCTGCCAGACAGTGACGTCCCCCACTTTCGCTACGTTTGGGTGTTTAGAAACGCACGACCAGAATTAGAAACGTACAACTAGACGATTACTAATGCGCGATGTGGTGATTACTAATGCGCGACTAGACGATTAGTAATGCGCGATGTGGCGATTACTAATGCGCGACTAGACGATTAGTAATGTGCGATATAGCGATTAGGAACGTATAGTCGCAGAATCAAGTAGGCTTGGAGAAGCAACAGACTTTGCGAACTGAGGACCTAAATATATTCACTTTGCATTTTACCAGCTTTGTCCAAAAACTTTAGACCCATGTCTCTACATCAAGACTTCGGACGGCCAGTGTGTATTTGTACTGGTCTACGTGGACGACGTCTTCCCTCCTCCTCCACCTCCATTGCAGAGGAATCTCGCGGTGGCCAGCGCTATCTAGTTGAGCAGCTGTTGAAAGCACCGAGTGAATGGACGGACTTGGACGATTATCTTCGTCCGGTGGCGCGGCGTATCCCCGTCCTGGGAGACTTGGGAGCCCCGCTCCTCAACTGATGATCGACGACGTGCAAGTCTGGTTGAGCAAGTCCTACGACACGGCACATCCTGTGTCGCAGCAAGGACCACCGGAGAAAGTCTTCCCGGCACGGTCGTAAAGGTGATTTCAGGTTGTCAATCCCTTCGTACATCTCAGTAGAGATACGTATCGCGCCACCACGGGCTGGTAAGGAGGTACGT